ATGTGGAAAGTCTTCTTGGGGCCTGGGATGGGGGTGAGGGAGGAGGTATGGGGGCAGGTGTAGCACTTCCTGCGGTTGCAGGGAAAAGTGCCGGGTGTGGGGAGCTGGAGGGGAGTGTGGAGCGGACAAGGGAGTCACGGAGAGAGTGGTCCCTCCGGAAAGCAGATAAGGGTGGGGAGGGAAAGATGTCTTTGGTTGTGGGGTCGGATTGCAGATGGCGGAAGTGTCGGAGGATGATGCGTTGGATCCGGAGGTTGGTGGGCTGGTACGTGAGGATGAGGGGGATTCTTTTTTGGTTCTTATTGCGTGGATGGGGTGTGAGGGATGAGTTGCGGGAGATGTGGGAGACACGGTTGAGGGCGTTCTCGACCACTGAGGGGGGGGAAGTTACAGTCCTTGAAAAACGAGGACAACTGAGATGTATGGGAGTGGAATGCCTCATCCTGGGAGCAGATGCGACGGAGGTGAAGGAATTGGGAATAGGGGATAGCATTTTTGCAGGAAGGTGGGTGGGAGGAGGAGTATTCTAGGTAGCTGTGGGAGCCGGTGGGCTTGAAGTGAATATCGGTTTCTCGGTGGTTGCCCGATATGGAGACAGAGAGGTCCAGGAAAGGGAGAGAGGTGTTAGAGATGGTCCAGGTAAACTTAAGGTTGGGGTGGAAGGTGTTAGTGAAGTGGATGAACTGTTCGAGCTCCTCGTGGCAGCACAAGGCGGCGCTGATACAGTCATCAATGTAACGGAGGAAGAGGTGGGGTTTAGGGCCGGTGTAGGTACAGAAGAGGGATTGTTCCACGTAACCTACAAAGAGGCAGGCGTAGCCTGGGCCCATGCGGGTACCCATGGCCACCCCCTTTGTCTGTAGGAAGTGGGAGGAATTGAAAGAGAAGTTGTTGAGGGTGAGGACGAGTTCGGCTAAGCGGATGAGGGTGTCCGTGGAGGGGGACTGGTCGGGCCTGCGGGACAGGAAGAAGCGGAGGGCCTTTAGGCCATCTGCATGGGGAATGCAGGTGTAGAGGGACTGGACGTCCATGGTAAAGATGAGGTGTTGGGGACCGGGGAATTGGAAGTTCTGGAGAAGGTGGAGGGCGTGGGTGGTGTCACGGACATAGGTAGGGAGTTCCTGGACCAAGGGGGAGAAAATGGAGTCCAGATAGTTGGAGATCAGTTCGGTGGGGCAGGAGCAGGCGGAGACAATGGGTCGACCAGGGCATTCAGGTTTGTGGATTTTGGGAAGGAGATAGAAGCGGGCAGTGCAAGGTTGGGGAACGATGAGGTTGGAGGCCATTGTAGGGCTGATTGGAGCCTGCTATACCTTGTGCAAATCCCTTTCCTGTCTATATTCTGTCGTCCTCCTTACCGCTCTCATGTGGCACTGGACAATAGCTGCATTGCAGCTATTACAGCTGGGATTCCGCGGTTGTGACCCATGGATTTTCAACAGAAATGCCTTCCAAATGTCATCTGACATGTGAAGGAATTCCAAAGAGAAACGGGCAGGAAATTTTGCAAGGATCTTGAACCCCTGGTGGAAAAGGCCTATTGTTTTTGAAATAAACTATTCCTGCTGGTCACGTAGTGGTTCATGTCGCAGTCCTTTGAAGAATCAAAATCTACTGTGCTGGCCATAAGCCAGCTTCCAAGGGATTTGAATGTGGTTTCTGTATCCTATAATAACATTGCCTTTGATCTGACTGATGTAAGAAGACATTGATGTGATGCATTCATTTACAATTGGAATTTTTGTTTTGTTGTTAATTCTCAAGGCTCTTCATTACTTTACCTTATTTTTCAAAAGGGAAAGCATCATTAATTTACTCATTCAGGTGAGTGATGACCATATTAGGGAATGGAATGCCTTTTGTCTCCTGGCATCCAGTGTCTAGAGTTTTTGTTGGGTCAGGTATAACGCAGGCCACAATGAATTGCAGACAAGCTTCTCAACTTGAGAATTAATGGCCACCTTTCAATAAATTATTATTACTGAGAAACATTTGTGTGAGGTACAAGGGGCAGTCTGTAGGGAAACACGAAAGTTGAAAAGAGTAATGTCAGAGTTTATTGATAATAAGGTTGAGCTTTCAAATGGTATAGATTGTAGCAGGTGGGGGATAATGATGGACCAGACTTGAGATGCTGAAAAACTGTTGAATAAGACAAGAAACTTTTGATTCTTGAGTTCGACCCTGAGGAACACTGAAGAGGAAGAACTTGCACTTTATTGTTTTAGGTAGGAAATGGAAGAAGATTGCATGTAGAATGGATAAAACTAAGCACAAATAATGTTAAAGAAAATCCACTTCTAATTGCATCCTCCAGTTTACATCAGTCTGGAATTCACCCAGCAAGATCAGCATATCTCAAATACAATTTCATGCTGCGGGTTAGTGGCTGTTTGCAACAGCAACTTGTGTTGTGCCTGTAGCACTATATAGTCCCAAGACACTTTAAAGGAGCATAATAAAACAAATTATGACACTGCACCACATATGATGGTGTTAAGAAGGTATTTTTAAGAGAGGGGTGACCTTACAGAAGTTTATAAAATCATGAGGGGCACGTAATAAGGTGAATAGTCAAAGTCTTTTTTTCCCAGGGTAAGGGAGTCCAAAACTGGAGGGCATAGGTTTAAGGTGAGGGGGGAAAGATTTAAAAGGGACATATGGGGGCAACTTTTTCATGCAGACGGTAGTGGGTGTATGGAATGAGCTGCCAGAAGAAGTGGTGGAGGTTGGTACAATTACAACATTTAAAAAACATCTGGATGTGTACATGAATTAGAACACTTTAGAGGGATATGGGGAAAATGCTGGCAAATGAGACTAGATTAATTTAGAGTATTTGGATGGCCTAGACTGGTTGGACTGAAGGGTCTGTTTCCATGCTGTGCAACTCTGACTTTATGATTTTACCTTACTTTCCTCCTTTGAGGAATTTAATGAAGCAGACAGTTGCTGGAAGGGAATTCCTGAGCTTGTGACCCAGGCAACTGAAGGCATAACCACCAGTGGTGGAGTAGTTATAATTGGGAGTGCCTAAGGGGCAGAGTTAGAGAAACACAGATATCTTGGAGGCTTGTGTAGCACATTACGGTGAGAGGTAAATACAAGGCCATGGAGCATTTTGGAAACCAAAATGAGAATTTAAAAACGAGAATGTTGTGTTGTAGAACCAGTGTGGGTCAACAAGCACAGGGGTGTTAGAGAAGCAGGATTTGTTGTGAGCTATGGCAAGGGCAGCATAGTTTTTGATGACTTAGAGTTCACGGAGGATAGAATGTGAAAGACTATCAAGGAGTGTACCAGACTAGAGTCTGAAGGTAACACAGGTATGGATGAGGGTTTCAGTAGCAAATGAGCTTAAAAGGGGGGCAAAGCCAAGCAATATTATAGTTCCGGGCACTTTATTTAAAGAAGGATGTTAAAGCACTAGAGTGAGTGCAAAGGAGATTCACTAGAATGATACCAGGAATAAGGGATTTTAGATACAAGGAAAGATTAGAGAACAAAAACAAATTTACTGGAAAAGCTCAGCAGGTCTGGCAGCATCTGTGAAGGAAACAAACCGAGTTAACCTTTCGGGTCCGGTGACCCTTCCTCAGAACAGAGATTAGAGAAGTTGGACTTATCCTGTATGGAGCAAGAAGATTAAGAGTGATCTTATTGAAGTTTTCAAAAATTTTTAATAATTTTGACAGGGCAAAGAGTGTTATTTTGTTTCCACTAGTTGATATGTTTAAATAGACTGCCATAGTGATGACATCAATACGGAGTCAAAAGCTCATCTCGGAATCAAATATTGACATTGTGTTTGTAAACTAATTGGCTTCATCCTAGATGGCTGTCCAAGAGAGAGGTCTAATCGTAGAATTGATGACAGTCAGTGAAGTGCGAATAAGATGAGCTCCTTTCAGGATTTGGAAAATTTAAATTAACCCCAAAACATACTCAAGAACCTTAATGAAGAAAGGTTGTCTGCCTTCCTCCTCTCCTCCCCTCTCCTCAAAAGTCTTGACGCCAAATCTGACACATTTTTTGTGATCTTAGGACAGAGAAATTGAACCTGTCTGTTTGAGGCTGAATTTCTAATTGGCATTGTTTTCACTGACGGAGCCTTGAAGTACTTTAGTATGATTCTTACGTTTTCAATCCCTGTGTCATTTGCTTAATTTTTCATTAAGTAAAGGAGAAGGCTCTTCGTTGGGGCAGCATTTGGGCGGCATGGTGGCTCAGTGGTTAGCACTCTCAGCACCAGGGACCCGGGTTCAATTCCACCCTCGGGCGACTGTGTGGAGTTTGCGCGTTCTCCCGTGTCTGCATGAATTTCCTCCGGGTGCCCCGGTTTCCTCCCTCAGTCCAAAGATGTGCAGGTTAGGTGGGTTGGCCATGCTAAATTGCCTGTAGTGTTCAGGGATGTGTAGCTTAGGTGGGTTATAGGGGAATGGGTTTATGGGAGGCTCCTGGGGTCAGTGTGGACTTGTTGGGTCCAAGGGCCTGTTTCTCACTGTAGGGATTCTGAAATTCTTCTGGCTCCACCCCGAAAAGAAAAGCAGAACCATATGATGCAGTCCCTCATCCCTGGAACCCATTCTCTTATTTCTTATGTTCATTCATGCTGTCTTGAATGGTTTCCTTCTGTGCAATACAGTTCTGTGAAACGTAAGGAGATTACTTTGGAGAAAACTTTCTCTAGCCAGGTCTATCTTTTGAGGCCACAAAGGTGCAGGAGAGCTTTAAGTAGGTATGTTCTGAGGACCAGTGGAGCCTAATTATTGCTGCTTTTGGGGGGATTAAGATTGCTCAGTTGTGACCTTTTACTTTATTATGGCAGGTTGCAAATTTGAGCCTTGCTGTGTGGTATATTCCTTTTTATGTACCTTTTGAGAACCAGATTCTTAATAGAAGCCAGGTTCAGAGTTTGAAAAGCTGCTTGACGATCGGTTCGGTTGCTTGTTTATTATTATATGAAGTAAACTAATGCTGTTTGCCCCTGCCTTTGACAGACTCCAGATACAAACCAAAAGCAGGAAGACAAATCAAAACAACTGAAACCTGCCAAGGTTTCACCCACTGTTGATGAAATAAAAGACAAACTGAAGGCCATGGTTGAGAAGGTAACCACTTCTTTTATTCAGAGGTGTTGATGGCTTAATTCATTTTGTTTTGAAGAAATCTGTTAAAATTCATTCAGGAGCAAAGTACTGCAGATGTTGGAAGTCTGAAATACCAACAGTAAATGCTGGCGAGACCTGAAACAAACTCATTTTCCCTCCAAGTGCTGCCTGAGCTGCTCGGTTTTTAACATTTTCAGGTTTTGTACAACATTCATGTTGGATAGCAAGATTTATGTTTCTTTTCATTGCTGGTGTGTGGCACAGTCACAGTAGCCATCAGAGACCTGTGTTCTCCTGTCTTCAGGCATTCTTAAAAACCTATTTTAAAAAAAAAACACATCCTTCTCCTGCACTGCCCCCCACCCAACGCCACCACCACCATCAAACTCGCTTTTCACTTGATTTTGCCTTTTGCTCTATCTTTTCCTCTGGGTTTCCTCCGGGTGCTCTGGTCTCCTTCCACAGTCCAGTGATGTACAAGTTAAGTGGATTGGCCATGATAAAATTGCCCAAAGTGTCCAGGGATGTGTAAACTAGGTGGAAAGTGCAGGATTACAGGGATAAGGTAGGGGGGTGGGTCTGGGTGGAATGCTTTTTGAGTCCACCATGACCCTCCAATGAGCCAAATGGCCTGCTTCCACACTATGGAGAATCCATGGCTCTCATTTACAATCTGATGCTGTCTGATCAATGTTCTCCACAGCACTCTGTCACCCATTCACTCCCAGTGCTTGCTCGTACTACCACTTTCTGCTTTTCTTTGATAGAGCGTATCTTTTATATACATGTCATATATTTTGATTGTTTTAGTACTGATCCCATTCAGTAAAGTGCAAAAAATACTTTACTTTTTGTGACACTGACTTGCTTCATTCTACTTCCTAGGGGCAGCACCTACCGAAGACGAAACAGAAGTTTCAAAACTTTATAAAAAGCTCATTACGATTTGGAGACCAAAAAGTGAGTACCTGAAGTATTCAGAAAAGATTTTGAAGCGAGTGCTAGTCCTAACTATGGATTGCTGTGGTGATGCATTTTATATTCATATGTGGGTGTTATTAGCCATTTATCTCACATCCCTAATTGCACTGGAGAAGTTGGTGCTGCAGACATCAGGGTATAGGGACACCCACAGTGCTGTTAGGGAGGGAGTTCCAGAATTTTGATCCAGTGACATGGAAGGAATAGCGATATATTTCCAAGTCAGGATGGCAAATAGTTTGGGGCAGGGAAACTGAAGGTGGTGTTCCCATGTATCCACGGTTCTTATCCTTCTGGGAGTTCATGATTTAGAAGGTGCTGCAGTTGGCTTAATCTTTTTAGGTTCCTTATAGGAAATGTCGGCTTCCTAATTATACACGTGTGAATGTGAAGACAGTATAGAATGTAATTGAGATTCGTCCTTCCATAGAACCACATGGCTTAAATGCTTTCTATCTAGTCTAATGCACAGAATGGCTGTAAGTGAGGTTCCAGATTGTTGCTTGTGTTTTTAATCCTTGTCGCACCCAGCTCCTGAAGGTGAGTTAGAGACATAGAGTTGTACAGCACGGAAACAGGCCCTTCCGACCAGATATTGTAAATTAATCTAGTCCCATTTGCCAGCATTTGGTCCATAACCGTCTTAACCCTTTCTAATCATGTAGCCATCCAGATGCCTTTTAAATGTTTCAATTGTAACAGCCTCCACCATTTCCTTTGGCAGCTCATTCCATACACGCACCACCCTCTGCGTGAAAAGGTTGACCCTCAGGACCCTTTTAAATCTTTTCCTTCTCTCTTTAAACCTATGCCCCCCAACTTTTTGGACTCCCCTACCCTAGGGAAATGACCTTGACTAATTCACCCAATCCATGCTGCTCATGATTTTATAAACTTCTGTAAGGTCACTTTTCTCAGCCTCCGAAGCTGTAGGGAAAATAGCCCCAGCCTATTTAGCTCAAACCTTCCAAACCTGGCAACATCCTTATAAACCTTTTCTGAACCCTTTTAAGTTTCACAATGTCTTTCCTGTAGCAGGGAGACCAGGACTGAATTCAGGAAGCACTCTGCCTTAGCATTAAAAAATAAACTCTACGGTATGTTGCTCATGTTATCATTCAGTATAACCCATCGAGTTACTCCTGTCATAACACTGAAAGGTCCTGATTATAATTAGGTAGGCCTGTCTAAAATTATACAAGACGCTAGTCAGACCACAGCAGGAAAACTGAATAAGATCGGTCCCCTAATTTTTTAAATTCGTTCACGGATGAGGGTGTCACTGGCTAGGCAGCATTTATTGCCCATCCCTAATTTCCCAGAGGGTAGTGAAGAGTCAACCACGTTGCTGTGGGTCTAGAGTCACCTGTAGACCAGACCAGGTAAGGATGCCAGGTTCCATCCCTAAAGGACATTAGTGAACTAGATAGGTTTTTCTGTACCGCGGAGGACTGTTGAGACTGGTTGTTAAGTATGTTCAAGGCCGAAAGACAGATGCTTAATCAGTAAGGGAATCAAAGATAATGGGGAAGAAAGGCAGGAAGGTGAAATTGAGGACTATCAGATTATCAGGGAGTGACAGACTCACTAATGGAGGGACTGCTGTGGAAGAAAAAGACTCCGGTACTCTACATGCTGCACAGTCCTCCAGCTGAGATCTAACCAGTGTCTCGTATATATTCAGCAAAACATCTCTGCTCTTGTACTTTATACCCAAACAATAGAGCACCCAAATATTATTTAAATAGAAAAAGACTGCAGACCAGGATAGAGGGATGTGGAGTCCTCATCCACGTAAGAAGCTAAGATCGACATTGAGGCCAAATGGTGCTTTTTGCATGTATGACATACCTTTCTTGCTCTTGTCTTTCATGCCCTTATTAATAGAGCTCGGGATTCAGAATGCTATATTAACTGTACTGTTAATCTGACCTAACACTTCCAATGGTTTATGCATATACCTCCGGGTCCCTCTGCTTCTGCACTCCCTTTGTGGCCGTATCCTTTATTTTATACTGTCTCTACCAAAATAAATCAGTTCAGACTTCTTGGCATTGAATATCATCTGCCATTTGTCTGCTCATTCCACCAATTTGTATATTTCTGTATGAAGTTCTATGCTCGTTTGACAATACTTTCATATCATTCTCAAATTTTGAAGTTTTGCCCAGAAGTCTAGGCCACTAATGTGTCACAGACGTGTATCTGGAAGAGCACAAGTCCATACACTGACCCCTGAAGGACTCCACTACAGGCCTGCCCCCACCAACCCAAACAGCATCTATTTAACCTCAACTCTATTTTTATATTAATCAGCCATGTTGCTTCTGTCTGTTTTATCCTTACATATCTGTTTAACAATATTTTAGCATAGCGTTTTGGACGTTCACGTGTACTGCACCAACAGCATTACCCTCCTCAAAAAAAAATCTCTAAGTAAGTTGAACACAATTTTCCTTTAAGAAGTCTATGCTGGCTTTCCTTAATTAACCCACTTTTGTCCACGTGACAATTAATTTGCTCTGAATTATTGTTTGTAGAAGATTGCCCATAACTTAAGTTAAACTGAATTGGTTGTAGCTGGTCTTACCTTTGCGTTCTTTTTGAACAAGGTTATAACAAAAGGAATCACAATGGGCGGCATTCAAGATGGTGGTCACGACAATACACTCTGTACTTTATGCACAACTGACTTGTACTGTCTTGTATTCCATTGTTGTAGAGCCCAGATCTTAGCATTCTGGTTGCTGTATTAGTTGCTTTGTACAACTCTGAACTCCACTTTGCAATGCCAATGCAATTGCAGGAAGACAGTGACTTGGTAGTAATATCACCAGATAGCTAACCTAGAGGTCCAGGCAGGAGCATGAGTTCTAATCCAACTTTGGAAACTGATGGATTTTAAAATTCAATAAATAAGTCTGAAAATGCTGGCCAGTAAATGTCATCGATCATGGTGAAAACCCATATCCTTTGGGGAAGATATTATGCCATCCTTACCCGGTCTGGTCTGACTCTAGACCCAACAATGTGATTGATACATAACTGCCTTCTGCTTTGTCCAATCAAGCTAATCAGTTCAAGGGCAATTGGAGAGAATAAGAACATAAAAACTACGAGCAGGAATAGGCAATTCAGCTCCTTGATCATGGATGATCTCACCTCTGTCTCAGCCTCAACTTCACTGTCCTGTCCACTCTCCACAACCCTTTCACCCCTTAGCTTTAAACTATGATGTCCTGTTCTAGATCCTGTTCCACGGAAACATCCTTTGTACATCTGCTTTGTCAATTCCCTCTAGCATCTGTATACCTCAGTTGGATCTCATTTCATTCTTGTAAACTCTACTGAGTACTGGCCTAAACTGCTCAAACTCTCCTTATAAAACAAGCCTCTAATCTCTGGAATTAATCTAGTGAATTTACTGTGTACTGCCTCCAGTGCAGTTACATTCTTGCTCAAGTAATTTGGTCAAAATGGTACTTAGTACTCCAGATGCAGTCTCAGTAGTACCTAGTACAATTGCAACAGCACTTCCTTACTTTTATACTCCATTCCTTGAGCAAGAAATAATAAAACTCCATTTTCCCACTTTATTATCTGCTGTACCTGCATATGAGCTTTGCGCAACTCATGTATGAGGACACCTGGATCTCTCTGCACTGAAGGGGTTTGAAGTACCTCTGCATTTGCTGCTCTTGACTGTGACGCCCACTTTTGAAAGAATAAAGAAAAACAGCTTAAGGTGGAAGTGTCACAGTGTTTGCTGTTATGTGCTGAACTTTGCATGTGAATGTTGATGGTGATGGGGGGTTTGATCTGTTTTAACATTGTTCTCTAAATTTATTTGCAGGTCATTGGAGAACTCTGGGTCTGGGGACAGAAGTTGAAGCAGATCAAGTGAGGGATTTCAGAAAGCGGCCAATGAGTTTTTTGAATGAATCACTTATCATTTCAGAATAGTCAATGGACTTTCTTTGTTTCCCCAAGCGATGTTTATTTTCTTGTCAGGTCTTCTGCTCAGCATAGTTTGCTTCAAGTTGACAGCCTCTAAGCTATTTTTATTCTCATTTCCAAGAAGCTGGGTGACCGCGTTGGTAAATGTTTGGTAGGTGGCAAACGTCTCAATTCTTCCTTTAAAACAAAACGTTGCCTGATCAAGTCCATTTGTAATGACTTGAAACCCAGAGACACTGGAAATGTACAGCGGGTGAGTAGCATGTGTAAAAAGACAGATTAACATTTCAGAACTTTTTGATAAAACTAAGGAAGGATAAAACTAACTCCCGACCCATTCCCCCACTCATTTTTTTGTATCAATTCTGATATGCCTGCTGTGTATTTTCAGCCTTGTCATTACAAATGTCTTAATATTTTCAGTTTACTTTTCTAATCTCATTGGTTATGTAGCTCAGCAGCCAATAAACTCCATGGAACTTAAAAAAAAAAAATCAAAATAAGTTTTTTGATTAAACAATTCAGAATCCACAACCCTTAGCACGTTCTCCTTGCTGTAATTATAACTCTATAACCTGTTAACCCCAATTTACATGGCATTGTGTAGAAAGTCCCAGGTTTGTGACTCTGCTCAGTCGGTTTGGACAGTCTTGGGTTGCAAGAAATGACCTGTGCTGCAGGGTAAAGAGACTGGGGAGAAAAGTCTGCATTCCTCCAGTTGACTGGCAATCCTTTCCAGATGCAAATGAGGTTTGAGTGGACTGATTCACCTTGGAACTTCCATTTTCTAGAGCAGCTTATTGTAGAATCTTATGCTAAACCCTTTTTGTGAAGAGAAATCAGTGTTTTGGCTTTGAGAAATATGACAGCAGCGGTAGGTAGATGAGAAGTCATCTCATTTCTGCCTAAACATGGCCTCCATAGATGCTCATGAATGGCACTGTAGAGATGCAAGCCTGCCTCTCTCTCTCTCTTCACCCAGTGCTTATGCTGCGCAGTGTTATATATGTGGGATTAATTCAAGACTGAATCAGCTTCAGTTTTGGCAGTACCTTCAGTGGTACACACGTACCAGGTTGTCTGTGAGACACAAAATAGCCACTTAGACAGGATATTGGGAGACAATACTTTCATAAGAATGAAGTGCTGAAATGTCAAAGAAAAACAAAATTCTTAATTAGTCACAAGCGTGAAACACTTGTACCTGTGTTTGAATTGCACCATTTTGAAGCCCTTATCCTTTTAAATTCGGCCAGTTTCAACCCCCCTTTCTATCCCTTCCATCATCATCTCCCCAAAGAGACTCATTCGTGGTAAGAGGAGACTGTCTAATAGGGACTGAAAACCTTCCTGTGTTTGTTATAGTGACCATTATTCATTTGCATCTAGGGAAGTTGTTGGTGAAATAACTGCACTGAGGCCAGTATTCTGTCACCAAGTCACCCTTTATTTACAGATGGAAAATCCTTGACACTCCTCCAGCTCTCTCGGAGCCAGCTGAGTGTCAAAAAGTCTGACACTCTGTCTGTAGGCCTGGGCTTCCTGATTGGGGTGGTTCGTCTGGTCCACTCAGAGAGCTATCATAGTCATGAGGTCCACCTGGCTGACCTCATGACAATGGCTTCAGTTTTGCACAGTGGTATCATCATGTTCTGGAGACATAGGATCAATCCCATCATCCCATCAATAAACATCTGGTATAGAAAGACAGCCTGAACTCGTCTGGTTCACCGACGTCCTTTTAGGAAAGAAAATATTCCACCTTCACCTGGTCTGGCCTACGTATGACTCTAGAATTGCAGCTATATGATCAACTTTTATCTTCCTTTCTGTACAATTAGGGATGGGCAATAAATGTGAGTATGTGATGCCCGCACCACATGAATGAATTTTGTTTTAAGATGGAATCAAAAATGCTTTTCAGCTTAAGGAGCATCATAATGGAACTAAATTTTCCCCAATTTTAAGCAGGGTTTTACAGATGAGCGCCTTTTTGGCAAGGGCGGACAAGTTGAACCGAAGGGCCTGTTTCCGCGTTGTACAACTCTTAGACTGACAGGGCCAGGACCCTGTGCATTGGCCCAGGAAATGGATGCACTTTGTACTGCTCCAGTTATGTAGTTGACATTGAGATCAATAGACTTGGCACCGATTATCAGATTAACCATCAAGGCCTTCTTAGCTGGGCAACTCTGTGCTGAGTTTTATTTTGATTTGGTTCTAAATTTTTTTTTCAACCTAGCCTTGCAGAGGGGGTGTGTTGAGGATACCTGTCCTTTTATTTGTTTAGAGACGGCCTGGGTGGCATCTTAATGCCAGCACAAAGACTAGCTAAGCTTGTCTGATTACCATGCTTTTGCATGGTAAATCCTCTTACTTTATTGGGAATAATTACTTTGAATTAGCATTTCTTTTTAAAAAGAGAAGGCTGCGATCAAATTACTAGGAAGCACCTCGAAAGGTTTTGATATGGAACAACGTTACACAGTGTGGAATATGACCAGAAAAGATGGCAATGTTTCAAAGCTGGCAGTGTAACAGTGGAAACAAATGAGAATCAAGGCAATTAGGTTTCAAACTACAAAGGGCAACCGCAGTCTATCTGTCCTTTCTATTTACAACATTTACTCTATTGGAAAGTAACTGGAACCTGTATATTAATACTGATTTACCTCTCCTCAGATTCTGATTGACCTGCGTGTATTCCCAATGGTTTCTTGTTCTTATTTATTTTAGACTTGCTGTTTTTATTTATCTCTAATAATGCTACTGAGGTGGTTTCACAATATAAAACATTTTGCATACCAATCACGGTATTTGAAAGTAAGGAGGTAACCATAGCAATGTCATAACATTGCTACTGTTAGAAGCACATTATGGGATAAACATAGAAAAGAGTCATGGAGCCGTACAGCGTGGAGACAGATGCTTCAGTCCAACTCATCCATGCCAACCAGATTTCCTAAATTAACCTAGTGCCATTTGCCAGCATTTGGCCCATATCCCCCTCTGAACTCTTCCTATTCATATACCCATCCAGATGCGTTGTAACTGTTGTACTTGTACCAGCCTCCATGTCTTCCTCTGGCAGCTCATTCTGTGCACACACCACCATCTGCATGAAAAAGTTGCTCCTTAGGTCCCTTTTAAATCTTGCCCCTCTCACCTTAAACCTGTGCTGGCTAGTTTTGAATTCCCCCATGTCAGGGAAAAGGCCTTGAATATTTTTCTTATCTGTACCCTTATAAATTCCTACAAGGTCACCCCTTAGCCTCTGACACTGCAGGGAAAATAGCCCCAGCTTATTCAGCCTCTCCCTATAGCTCAAACCCTCCAACCCCAGCAACATGCGTGTAAATCTTTTCTGAACCCTCTCAAATTTCACAGCATCCTTCCTGTAGCAGGGAGACCAGAACTGAATGCAGTATTCCAAAAGTGGCCTACCAATGTTCTTTACAGCCACAACATGACCTCCCAGCTCCAATAGGTAATGCACTGACCAATAAAGACAAACATACCAAGTGCTTTCTTCACTATCCTGTCTACCTATGACTCTATTTTCAAGGAACTATGAACCTACACTCCAAGGTCTCTTTGCTCAGCAACATTCTGTAGGACCTTACCAGTAAGCATATAAGGCCTGCCCTGATTTGTCTTACCAAAATGCAACACCTCACATTTATCTAAATTAAACTTCATCTGCCACTCCTTGGATCACTGACCCATCTGAATCAGGTCCCTTGTACCCTGAGGTAACCTTTTTGGCTGTCCACTACATCATCAATTCTGGTGTCATATGCAAACCTACTACCATCCCTCCTATGTTCACATCCAAATCATTTATATAACTGACAAAAAGTGGTGGACCCAGCACTGATCCTTGTGGCACACCGCTAGTCACAGGCCTCCAGTCTGAAAAGCAACCCTCCACCACCACCCTGTCTCCTACCTTTGAGCCAGTTCTGTGCCCAAATGGCTAGTTCTCCCCGTATATTCCACGTGATCTAACCTTGCTCACCAGTCTACCATGCGGAACCTGTTGAATGCCTTGGTGAAGTCCGTATAGATCATATATTCCACCGAACTGCCTTCATCAGTCCCCTTTGTTGTTACTTCAAAAAACTCAATGAAGTTAGTGAAGCATATTTCCCACGCACAAAGCCATGTTGCCTATCCCTAATCCGTCCTTGCTTTCCCAAATACATGTAAATCATGTCCCTCAGTATCTGCTCCAACAACTTGTCCAGCACTGATGTCAGGCTCACCAGTCTCTAGCTCCCTGGCTTTTCCTTACCACCTTTCATAGATAGTGGCACCGTGTTAACCTGCCTCCAGCCCTGGAGTCTGCAACATCTGTTGCTAAGGCATCATCTTCCCTCACAGGAAGAAGTAAGAGATCATGTGGCACTATTTTATATAAGAAAAAAAGAGCAGGGGAGTCACCATCCATATCCATTCATTGTTGAAACAGACTATCTCGTCATTTATCTTGTTGCTATCTGGTGACATGTTGCTGTGTGAAATTTAGCTACTTTGTTTGCTAATAACTATGTATCAAGAGTCCTTGATCGACTAGAAAAATGATTGAAATGATGCAAGTTGATTCTTTTGGATAGTACGATAGTAATAATTTACAATGATACTTCAGAGAAAAAGACTCCACCCAACTGATCTGCATAGCATATTCAAATTGAAAATATTCACTCTAATACAATTTTCCCTCTCTTTTTTCCCAATCCTCGATTAACCTACTTCTTCAGATGTGTATTTTCAGTAGGTACTTGTTCTAATGCACTTCATATTCTAATTTCCCATTGCAAGGAAAGCATAGAACATAGAACATTACAGCGCAGTACAGGCCCTTCGGCCCTCGATGTTGCGCCGACCTGTGAAACCAATCTGAAGCCCATCTAACCGAAACTATTCCGTTATCATCCATATGTTTATCCAATGACCATTTAAATGCCCTTAAAGTGGGCGAGTCTACTATTTTTTCAGGCAGGGCATTCCACGCCCTTACTACTCTGAGTAAAGAACCTACCTCTGACATCTGTCCTATATCTATCACCCCTCAATTTAAAGCTATGTCCCCTCGTGCTAGCCATCACCATCCGAGGAAAAAGGCTCCCACTGTCCACCCTATCTAATCCTCTGATCATCTTGTATGTCTCTATCAAGTCACCTCTTAACCTTCTTCTCTCTAACGAAAACAGCCTCAAAACCCTCAGCCTTTCCTCATAAGACCTTCCCTCCATACCAGGCAACATCCTGGTAAATCTCCTCTGCACCCTTTCCAATGCTTCCACATCCTTCCTATAATGCGGTGACCAGAACTGTACGCAATACTCCAAGTGCGGCCGCACCAGAGTTTTGTACAGCTGCAACATGACCTCAGAGATTTTATAGTTATGTAAAGGGAAGGCGGGTTGTTAAAAGTATATTGGCCCCCTGAGAGTGGGAGTATTGTCAATGACCATGGGGAAATGGCAGAATACTGAATGATTACTTCAGCATTCACAACAGAAAAGGAGGATAGCTTGCTGGAAGTCTCTGAGAAATTAACAGAAGATCACGGACAGGGTCTAAATAAAATTAGCTTAAGTAAATCATCAATAATGGAACTGAAGAGTGACAAATCTCCAGGACCTAATGGTTTCCTTCCACCAGTGTTAAAGGAGGTAGGAGAGCACATTGTGGATTCCCTAACCAAAATCTTTCAGAGTTCCCTGATTTCAGGAGTTGTACCTCTGGATTGGAAATTTGCTCATGTCCTTTTCCTTTTTTAGAAGGGTGACAGAGGGAAAACAGGAAATTACAGGCCTGTTAGCCTAACAGCTGTAGTGGGGAAATTGTTGGAATTTACAATGAAGGATAGGGTAACCGATCACCCCAAAAAAAATTTCTGAAGAAGGGTCTAGACCCAAAACGTCAGCTTTCCTGCTCCTCTGCTGCTTGGCCTGCTGTGTTCATCCAGCTCTACACCTTGTTATCTCAGACTCTCCAGCATCAGCAGTTCCTACTATCTTTCTCACCTGAAAAAAAAATTGTTTAATTAGTGAGAGTCAGCGTGGATTCATGAAGGATAGGTCACACTTGACAAACTTCAGAGATTTTTGAAGAAGTGACAAAGAAGTGGTGGACAGTGGTAAGTTGATGGATGCTGTCTGTATGGACTTCCATAAGGCTTTTGATAAAGCCCACACTAATGTGGAAGCCCATGGAATGGAGGGCAAATTACTGACATGGATAGGAAATTGGTTGTGTGGAAAGAAATAGAATTGCAATATAGTTAGGTGGTCAAGAAGGCATACGGCATGCTTTCATTCATCGGACCGGGTATTGAGTACAAGAGTTGGCAGGTCATGTTGCAGTTGTATAGGACTTTGGTTCGACCACATTTGGAATACCGTGTACAGTTCTGGTCACCACATTACCAAAAGGATGTGGATGCTTTGGAGAGGGTGCAGAGGAGGTTCACCAGGATGTTACCTGGTATGGAGGGTGCTAGCTATGAAGAGAGGTTGAGTAAATTAGGATTATTTACATTAGAAAGACGGAGGTTGAGGGGTGACCTGATTGAGGTCTACAAAATCATGAGAGGTATAGACAGGGTGGATAGCAAGAAGCTCTTTCCCAGATTGGGGGACTCAATTACTAGGGGTCACGATTTCAAGGTGAGAGAGGAAAAGTTTAAGGGAGATATGTGTGGAAAGTTCTTTACGCAGAGGGTGGTGGGTGTCTGGAACGCATTGCCAGCGGAGGTGGTAGAGGCGGGCACGATAGCGTCATTTAAGATGTATCTAGACCGATACATGAATGGGCAGGGAGCAGAGGGATACAGATCCTTGGAAAATAGGCAACAGGTTTAGATAGAGG